ATGTAGTATACATTTAAAAATATTGCTCGTGTCCTCATGCTTGATGTCATTACCTATTTAGGAAGAAGGTGTTATGAATGGTAATATAGAGTGGCATTATTGGTAAAGGTAAAGTTGGTATACTTGGAAAAGGTAAAGTTGGTATAATTGGTAAAGGTAAAATTGGTATAATTGGTACAGGTAATGGTGGTATAATTGGTAAAGGTAAAGTTGATAAAATTGGTAAAGGTAAAGTTGGTATAATTGGTACAGGTAAAGTTGGTATAATTTGTAAAGGTAAAGGTGGTATAAATGGTACAGGTAAAGTTGGTATAATTTGTAAAGGTAAAGGTGGTATAAATGGTAAGGTAAAGTTGGTATAATTGGCAATGGTAAAGGTGATATAATTGATGATGGTAATGTTGATCTATTTGGTAAAGGCAAAGGTAACATGATTGGGAAGGTGAAGGTTGTATGATTGGCAAAGCTAAAGTTGGTATGTTTGGTAAAACTAAAGGTAGTGTGACTGGTAAAGGTAAATGTGGTACGATTGGAAAAGGTAAAGTTGGTATGATTGGCAAAGTTTTGGATGGAACTAGGCACTCACGTTTTCAAACAAATTGACCACACAATCCCAAAATATATAGTTGTGTTTCTATCTCAGTTTAGAAGAATTTAGAATCATGTTTTAAGTTCCAAGTAAATACAATTATTAGTGATCAGGCCGTGATAATATTGCCGTTGAGTATCCACGCTGCAATGATGTAGTAATTAGATTATTCATGTAGTAATCAGAAGTCTTGTAATAATACAGTAATAACGTGTTAATGCAATAATCGGACAATAATCATACGATCATATAGTGAGTAGACATTAATCATGAGCAAACGGCATGCTAAATGTAACGATGCAAGTTCTACTAATTATGTAATTTCATTTTTAAGCAAACTACCCAAAATACTCTAGAGTGTATCAACATATTTGTCGTTCAGTTTGTAAAGAATAAAAATAATGTTTTCAATTCCAAGTACATGTACTCATGCAGTAATTATAAAGTAATTTTATAATCATACATTAATTAGATAATATAATGTAGTCAAGCAGTAATGAGACTGCAATTATGTAGTAATTAAACATCAATAATTAATAATGAGAAAATAATCATTTGATTCAGTAATAGACAATACCCATATAATGATGAATTTATAAGACTTTACACATGCGTTAAAGGTATTTTAACGGTACTAGAAGAGAATCGTGTATGGTTATCAATTATTTGTGATTTTTAAAAATAGTAATCAAATTGCTATTGAGTGCTATTTCTAATAACGATTAGAGCAGATCATTTATTTGAACTAATTATATATAACAATACTCAAACCACAGCACAGAATTTTATCTATAACCTAGCCCATCGCCGTCTTTATGTATATTCTTTGTGGATCTTCTTTCCCTTTGTCAATTTCATAAAATTACCTAACTTTTTTATATGAAGCTGCAATTTTGTTTTCGTTTTATCATTTTATATCCCGTATGTATGTGTCAACATTTAAACTTACAAACGTAATTATTGGGTAATTGAAAACTTGTGCATAATCAATTACTTTCATTTGTGAAGATTCCGTTCTGAAAAAGACTGTTGCAAGTTTTCATTAGCAACAATTTGTCTCTGTTGTTCTATGTGCAAACCAGCTGATCTGTATTGTTTAGTTTTCGATAAAATGCATTTTAGTACCCATGTGTGTGTATGTGTGCGAAAGAGAGATAGAGATGTAGTGGGCACTGGAATAAGTCAAAATTGTGACTAAGTTGTTTCTATATTGTGATATAACTATCAAATGTCTGAAAATTATTTAAAGAGGAAGAAGGAGGAAGGGCAAAGGACAATCAAATGAGAACACGTAAACTAACGACTAGGAAATTGTATGTACTCTATTGATTTCCACAACAGATCCCCGTACTGACGCCAGGGGCATATTGGCAGTAGAAGCCTGCAGGGCACGCATTTTGAACACAGTTCCCAAGTGGTGTTCCTCCACTGGGACATGTTGGTTGAGGCATCTCAGTTCCACAACAGATCCCTGTACTGACCCCAGGGGCATCTTGGCAGACAAAACCTGTAGGACAAGCGTTTTCGACACAGCGCCCATGTGGTGTTCCTCCATTTCGACAGTTTGGTAGTGGCATTTCTGTTTGCTGATCAACAGGGCAGCACGTCCCAAACTCATTTGCTGATGTGGAGGTACAAACGTGACCTAAGGGACACTGGTTGGTCCCAAAAGGCCAGCACCAACCTGTGGGATTACCGCCCGAGGGACAAGTGATCGTTACACTAACAGGGCAACAATGGCCAGAGGCTTCCGTGGAGCCGTAACAGTAATACTCGCTTGGGCAGGTACTTGGAAACGTGAACGGATTACAGGACCTGCTCAGCGGCGTTCCTCTTGGACACGTCGTCTGGGTTTCTGAAAAGTCTAAAAGGGACGAGAAAATGAAATAAAGGTTGTCTGCATGATTCTGTAAGAATATAATTTAAAAGAATTAAAATATATTTTCAAGGTACGAAATAAATTATTATATGCCAAGGATTGTTGGTTTGTGGGAAAAAGGTGCCATTTGCTGGCTTAATACATAACGGATCAGACTTAATGCTGCTGAACATTTTTTTCTCATCCAGGTATATTCAGGCTATGATTCATTTAGCAGAACTGAAAACTGTCTAGATCTTAAAAGCAAAGGCACAACACGGAACTTGACTATTTGACAAGGTCTGCGAACTTTTAGAAAAACAAATTATTTAATTGAAGCTGTTTTTACTATATTAATTACTGTGTTAGATTTGACTTTATCTTTATTAAAAGTTATTATAAATTCAAGGACATGAACTGATAACTCACGCATCTCTATTTTTCCCCTCTCCCTCAAATATTCTTCCAGCACATTAAATATATCTTTCGTGGAGGAAATAATGAACATTCTAGAATTACTTTATATCGAATTAAGACGTGAGCTAAGCAAATAAATTGAAACGGCACGAAAAGTTCACTACATAAAGTATTATTTTGCGAAAGCAGGAATATTATAACAAGACGAAGTAATTAAAATAATATATCACAGTCATATTCAATAGATGTTAAAGCCATATGCAAACTGTAAATTAGATTAATTATTAAAATAACAATATTTACAAAGTACAGGGCTTCCTTGAAACAAAAACAAAATATTTCAACTCGAAAGCTATGTTTTGAAATGCCATTTAAGCAATACAAATTGAAATATTTACTTACCAATGACCAAGAGCGATCCGATAGCCAAAACCAACGGAATACTTCGTCCAAGCATCTTACTATGTCGTCCAGAAACGCAGTTGATCAAGTAGTTGCTATTTGTAGAAAATTTACAATGTGTACGTGTGGGGGTTCTTGGTGCTTTTGTTTTATAGACAACATGTGACATCATAAATTAAAACTTTTATAGAAAAAGCCTCATTGCTTATGATGTCAGGAAAACATATTGGAAAGAAGGATACATCGAGTTAGTCAGTTTAATGTTCGCCGTAAATCTTCATTTAAAGATCATCACGTATGTATAAAAGCATGCATGGTGTTCGACTCGCCAGCTTAACAAAGTTACGAACTACATCAAGGCACAAGAGTACAATATATATATATATATATATATATATATATATATATATATATATATATATATATATATATATATATATATATATATAATCAGAACGTGATCTGTGCTATATATTTGAGGTCAAGGAATTTAATTCGAGTTAGATATGTCAATTAAGGGAATTATCCAAATGAGAAATGTAATATTGCAAGTGCTATACTTGTTTGGTTAGATGAAGAGTTTGGAATCCGAAACAGATATGTAATGTTTTTGTCCATAAGAATAATGTAATACAAACCCAGCAGGCCATTTGCCTTTCTTGAGTCGTCAGCATATATATTCTGAATCAATATGGAAGGGTTTGAGTGTTTGTTTGTAGAAACAATGTAGTTCACAACTATCATGTCACATACCTTAACTGAGTCGTTAGTACGTGTATTTTAAATCATATATGTAGTCTTTGGAAGTTTATCCATGGGAACAATGTAGTACAAAGCCAGAATGACACAAAGTAGTAGATGAAAATACGGATTCTAGCTCAACGACCCTATTTTATATTAAAAAGTTTGAAAAAAAAGCATTCATCCGCAACACCCGAATTTTCTTTCAATGCAAATGACTTCTAGCTAACTATCGACATCGTCATCATTCTCACGGTTGCTAAATATCTGTTGCAAGTTTGCAATAGTCCAAACTTAATTATAAAATAGAGTCGCTGATCCAGAATGCGTGTTTCATCTACTACTGGAGACTTACTATTTTAATAATTTAAATAAAATTCATACTAGTATCCACGACGTAAAAATTTTTTATTATTATTTTATTATTGTAGAAATTTTTTTATATCAGAGTCGTAAATTAATTGATTATCAATTTTATCACCAATTATCAAAGTATCAACTATTGCAACAATAAATATTTTATCAGCAAAATTAAAGTAACCTTCCCACTTATGAGACGATTGCAACTAAATAATTTTCTTATCATTGCCAAAGTTATTAAATAAAAACATTAGATAGGTAGAAATCACAATGTATTTTTGCATATTTTTATCATAAACATGTGTTGATGACATAACGTATTAAGAAAATTGAAATACTTGCTATGATCGATTTAATCAAAGACAATTTCATCTTGTCATATTTATTATGTACGTTGCTGAAACATATACTATAAATTTCATCATTAAAATCGAATAATAATTGCTTTCCAAAAATCATCAAATGTGTGACGTTTGTGTTAACTCCATCATCAACAACTGTTAAATTCCCGATCATTATTTTTAAATTTAAAATAAATTTCATTTCCAAACCTTATGTCATAATGATTTTCATACTCACTAACTGGAAGTGGTAAGATATAAGTTAACATACTATCCAATAATGCGGACAACCGCTCCGGTGGCCTAGTGACTAGAGCGTCCGCTTCAGATGCGGGAGGTCGTGGATTCAATGCCCGTTGGAGTCATACCAAAGACTTACAAAAAATTTTACTAACAGCTGCCTCGCTTGAGGCTCAGCATTAAGAGGTTAGTGTAGGGACTGGTCGGCCTGGTGTCAGGATAATGTGATTGGGTGGGACGTCATGCTACATGTCTGCGGCATGATGCCCCAGTACTAGACATCACTATAAACTGCCACACTGCAGACATCGTAGCGATATGACTGATTTTTTTTTAAAAGCTGCGTTAAAAATTATAAACAGCACACCAATAATACGAAAATCCGGTATTAAATCGTTCATACTTAGCTATACTTATATAAGATATTTTTTGATCGAGCAATTTTGTGTAAGATGTTATAGCGTTTATACAAGCATTTTTTCATTTCAAATTTTGGTTCAATTTTCTTCAGCTCTGTTGATATAGTTACGTCTGCACGAGATTACATTAACGAAAACGGCTTTAATGTCGTCCCACTTGAAACAATATCAGCTGAACGTTTTAAAGATGGCACTGGAGTATCATCAACCACACTAATATCACACTATTTATCAGTTTTTTTGAAGATCTACAATATCAAGAGTCCTTTAAAATTTTGTCATTTCATCTTCATTAAATTTACTAATTCGATCATCAACATCTTTTATTATTGATAGCAATATACATACAATGATTGGATCAAATTCAATATTTTCATTTTACATTGGTAGAAGTGCGTTAACATATGCTTTAAGTAATACTTCTGCGTTATTACTTATTAAAATAATTACTTTTATTAATGTGTCTTCGTAGTGGTAGAACAAAGATGATTTAAAATCTTTTCGTTTTAAAAAAATATTATTTAACATTTAGTTTTTATTAATCTTTTTTATCACTTGATAATTTGTTAAGACGAGTACGATTATAATTTGTTTTTCTTCTTGCGCTTTTCCAACAAAAGCTTTTGATTGTATCAAATCCATTTTTATATTGCATCGGTGTAGTAAATTTTAAATTTCCTTATAATCATCAAGACAATCATCAGGATAACAGTATCTTGTTATTTTATTATAATTATCCCCTCTCATCTTTGCTACACGCATATAATTAATTTTCAAACCTGATATTTTTCTGGGAACCCGTCTGACATATTTTGTAATAAATGTTTCATTGTTCTTATTTTTTCACCAGCTGTCGCTTTTTCACCCTCTCCTTCTATAAGAAATTGGTAAGCAAGCTTATAAAATTCTTTTTACAACTGTTGTAATTGGTGGCTCTGGCATTTTATTTGAAAAACTTATACTAAATCATCCAATATGAACAATTGCCAGTAAGTTAAACCTAATTTGTTGGTTCATATAAACTAAAGTATAATAAATAAAACTTATACTTTGTGGAAGATGCTGTCAATAAAATTGCTTCCATCGGAGTTGATCCTATCCATGTACTTTTGGTGGAATATAAAGATGACCATCATTAGATCCTTCTAGTTTCTAATCTTAAAATCTAAAATCTTACTATGGCGACCTAGTACAATAGATGTCTAAATTGCGACTGCGACAGGGCATTCAACTTTGATACAATAACTACTTGATCCACAAATTACACCCTATTCATTACCCTTATCTTCGGGTATTGTAACCATATGACAATAATATTGTGTATTATTGTAGCTCGACTACGCTGATAATGTCAAGCCACTTTTTGTCTAGTCGAGATATTTGCACAACGTGGAATTAGTCCAACATTTTTAGAATTTAATTTTACACCGCTGCCAGTTAGTAAACTATCAACATAAATTTAATTAACACGATCACTGCCACTTGTCGGAGTTGCTAACGATTTTACTTTATTATCCATACTTAGTGTTCCCTTCATTGAATCTCCAGCTTTCTTCAACAAATTTTCTCTTATACCATCAAAATAAGTTTTGTCAAATTAGAGCCACTCATCGGAGTATAAATTGTACTAATTTTATTATTTCCCATGTCAATTAATCTCGTCATTTTTCCACAAGAATTGCTTCACATGTTTGTTACCGAATCCGAGATTAAATTATTTGTAACATCAACATCTCTGGAATCAACATAAATTTTATTTGTTAAATCGTCAGAATGATCTTGAAAATGCGTTGTAATTTTATTATTCCCCATGTTTAAAGTACCAGTTAAAGTTCCACCGGTTTTATCTAGTTTGTTATCATCAACTGTTTTTAGCTGTGCATAACTTACAGATTGAGATTAAATAACAGTAGCAGGCGGATGCTTCCAAATTATAATCCTTTTATGGAACATACTAATCTTACCAGTTATTGTACCACGTGTTTTATCAAGTCTATTTTCGTCAACGTATTTTAGTTGTAAATAAGAGCTTGAGACGGAATCAGATTGGGAGGTGGATATGATGTTTCTAAATTTATAATCTTTTTCTCAAACATATCCAAGTTGCCAGTTGATGTTTCACCTGTTGGTGATAGTTTACCATTGTATATTATTTTTAGTCGTAAATAACTTAAAGCTTGAGATTGAATCGCTGTGGAAAGTGGATAAACAGTGTCTAATGCGATGATATTTTTATCTAACGTATATAAGTTACTAGATAAAGTTCCACGTGTTTCGACAATTTATTATCATCGATTGTTTTAGTTAAAAAAAAACTAATATCTTGAGTAAGATTAACATTTGCTGGTGAATAGTCAACTTCTAGTCCAAGAACGCACTGATTTGACAAATTTAGTTTTTTAGTCATTCCATATCCGGTTTTCGTAACGAGTTTTGATGTATCTATTGTTGTTGTTTCCGTTGTTGTTGACTCATCTGTAGATATAATAGTTCCAGATTTTGTGTAGTAGTTCATTATTTAAAATTGTATAACATAACAATGTATAATAATGACATAAACATCACCATAAAAAATATTAAATTTTGAAAAAGAGCGACTAATAAAGAAAACCATGATAATAATTTACCAGATTGTCATGACCTCATCATTATCTAATTGTTGGTCGCACAAAATCTGGTAAAACTAACTTGTTAATGAATTTAATTATCGGAAATAATTTTGATTATGACCGTGTTTACGTTTATACAATTAATCCACAACAAGATAAATACGAACTACTCAATGAATATAATGAAGAACTTCGCGATGATTTTAAAACTGAAGTTGATTTTTGTTATTATCAAGCAACCTAAAGAATATATACCAGTTAATGAAATACATTTAGACGAACATAAAGTAGTTGTTTTTGATGATTTTCCATTAAACAACGAAGAAATGAACAAGAACAGATCTTATTTTCATTAGCGCTAAATTGAAACAGATACGATTATAAAGCGCGGTTTAGGTAATTTCAACGACAAACGTTATTGAGAATACGGAATTAATACATTTTTGCATGGTTATTCTGCTTGAACTGGAGATCAAATACTTGATATCATCATCGAAGACTAAGTCTCTGGACTAAAGTTTATCTACAATCATAAATCAATAATAGAAAAATAATTTCGTTGTTGATGCTAGTATAAATTTTATCTAACATTATTAAAAGTGTAAGTCGCTATTAGGAAATGAAAACACGTGATTCTGGATCAGCGACCCTATTTTATAGTTGAAAAGTTTGGAATATCTCAAATTTGCAACTTATTTCTAGCTACGATGAGAATGATGATGTTGATGGTTACCAAGAAGTCATTTTTATTGAAAAATTTGTAGAAGCTTCGTGGTTTGGTGATGAGTGATTTTTTCCAAACTTTTCAAATATAAAATAGGGTTGTTGAGCTAAAATTCGTGTTTTCATCTACTACTCACATGCTTTACTTGAGTCATCAGCACACATATGCAAAGCATTGGACCATAAACCATGACGCTTGCTATAATTGTAAATTAGTACATGCATTCTGTATTAGAGATATAAGGTTTGGGAATTTGTCTAGATGAACCGTGTAACATGGCACATGCCATACCGTATGGAAACTAAATGAATTTTGTATTAGGTGTAAAGATAATGGATTTGTCCAAGCTGTAAAATACCAATATAATATATAAAAAGAGTCACAAAGGGATTTCTATATACCACGATGGTGAATGGAAATCTTCGAAGATTCTCTAACCAGCACCATATCCGATCCATAACAAGTATTGTTTCGATTTTGATTCGACGGAATTAGATAGACAGACAGACAGACAGACAGACAGACAGATAGATAGATAGATAGATAGATAGATAGATAGATAGATAGATAGATAGATATGATATGTACATGTATACAGATACGTCTACAACAATTATCTACGCCCTTCATTGTTAAGAATGAAATTAAGTGGCACATTTAAAGAGTAATTTGTTCCATCTACTAATAATATGAGAATTGAAAAGAATGGCATAGTTTCAAAGTCATTTCAATGTATATTCTCACTATCAGAAATGTACAAACATGCTGGAGGCACTGTTATATCTAGGAAGACCTAACAGAAAACAAAGACTATTATTATAACCAGTAACTAGTTTCCTTTCATACAGTAAGTAAAGTTTGTCCAAAGAGGAGCACAATATATAGTGCAGCAAAAAGATTTGAACAATCTAATTTTGATACTTAATGAACAATTCTTAAATTTACGTAGAATCATGTTTGTACGACTACACATATATTGGTAATGTCTGATCATATCTTCATTATCTGACTGATTGATCTCAAAATATGATCCAAATACGTATAACTGTCGACATACGTAACAACATTGCCGTAGAATCAATCAACCATTCAATCTTTATTTCCGCCATAAGAATAGTTCGTTTACAAACATAAAGAACAGAACATAAAGAGATTTATCTATTTACATTGATGATTTGGGAAAGTATTCCAAAAGTCACTGATGCCTGTAAAAGTAATAAAATTGATGAAAGAACAAATGAAACATCGATTATTAAGAAATACATGAGAGCAATCAAAATGGCACATACACGTTGAACAAAAATCGGATGGCAAAAAGAAACAGAACAAAATTCTTATTACAGCACAGTTCAGTTAATGGTAATAATGTTGGT